TGTTGTCCATTCCGAATTTGTCGTTTAGATCTCCAATCACAACGGTGAAGTCCTTTCTTAGGCACTTACCTATGACCGATTGCAGCCTCTTGTTAAACTGATCTTTGTCGTCATCAGTGCTATCATTAGTGGGTGCATAGCATTAAATAACATTCATTGTAACTCCCTCCGTCTTTGTTTTGAATGTTTTGATGATCCTGGATGCGTGGGATTCCCATCCTATAACTGCATTTCGTGCTTCTTGAGAGAACATCATAGCAACTCTCCGATTGTGTGGAACATTTCTCTCGTCGTGACCGGGATATAGCAGCAGCTCTCCCGTACCTAATGTTTGTTGTCCAGCTTGGGTCTAATGGGTCCCACTGATTCCGAGATTTGCCAAGTTTTATCTCCTCATTTCCGTTGCTACTTGACTGGTTCTCCTGGTCTCCCACATTGTTCAGAGTTCCATGTTGTCAGAACGGGCACTGACCCCGTGACTTCCGAAGAGTCTCAGCTTTCATCATGAGGCGTCATAACTCCTCCTTCAATTTGGAGGGCAGAGTTTAAATGGTGTAAATTGTTTATTCTGGTTAGCATTTTTTTAACAAGGTTGTTTCCTACGAGATCGGGTTGTCGATTTCACTCCCAACCCTCCTCCTTTATGTGGATTTTTGGGACCGGCAGTAACTCTAAAAGAGCTACAAGAGGAGTTTTGATACTTCATATTGTTACATATACTTAATTAAAATAAATTATAAAAAAATGAAACTGTATACTAATTATTAATTTATCTCTGTGAATCGAAACCAAACAAAGCCATCTGTTCTCACAGTCGTTTAGATTATTAAATAATTGTTTAGAAAATTAGTGAAGTTTATATGAATGCTGTATCTCTGCTAAAATATACCACTGTATAAAATGTTTATAAAATTTAATAGCGTATCTGATGCTAGTTCCTTAAAGACACGGTACCATAGAGACGTTATTGGATTAATAAAATCTAAAGGTTAAAATTCGAGTTTGAAAGAAAATTTGCAATATGTAACAATACTGAAGACCACGTCTATTGAAGCAGAGATTTTTATATACAAAATATCATTTAATGATGTACTGGTATTTTAAAAGTCCCATTATTGTCTTCTAATCTTATTTTTGTCATTCTAAAGAATTATTTGCCAATGAAATTGCAATTTTCATTCAGTTTATTATTAAATTAGCCGATTAATTTTTGGGCCATCAACAAAGATTCATTCATTGTGTAAACTATCGATTATTATTTATCAATCAGCTTCATATACAAAATATTTAACCATTATATATCATCACAATTCTTAACTCAGAAAATATTCTTGAGTATATGTATAAAAATTAGATGTGATCATATTGATTGAGTTTGTAGTAGTACATCTAGCTTAAGGGGATGAAGGTAATTTAGTTGTCAAACCGATTCAAATGAGTGACTACTTTGATATTAATATTGTCGTTCTTTTGTGATTAAATAAAATGAGTTTAAGCATAATAATTTATTAAATTTTTTTCAGAGATGTATTATTACTTAATTATAGAGGATACTCCTACATTATTATAAATCAGTTAAATATTGTACAAATATATGATTCAAAAAAGTTACTTAAGAAGAATTTCCTAAGTTCCTAAGGTGAGACTATTAATTTATGGACGACCTTTGAGCGACGCTAAAGTGACTTTGAGAATGTCTGCATACTTACTAAGGCTAAATGGTGGTTATAAAGCAGTATAAAGAGTAAGGATTGTGATTTACAGTTGATGGTTAGGAATTAGATTTATAGTTCTCATCACGAACTGACATTAGCTAAAATGCCAGGACGCTATTTAGACGATTGGGTGAGTGAATTTCGCGTCAAAATCCGAGACCTGTCGTCCTAAATCTGATTGGTTTGTCCATAAATTATAGTCTCGCCGTTCCTAAAGTGTATTTATTCACTGTGACATTAAATTTTTTGATAGGAAACAGCATTTAAAATGACATTTTCATTTCCATCAGTCATTCTAATAGCTAAGTCTTTTCATAGACTTATAATAAACTTGCATTCTTAAAAGGATGTTTCCTTATAACATACTTAAAATCATGATTCACGCAGTTATTTGTTTGGAAACCAATAATTCACAATTTGTTATATATTTTTCTTCTAACAAACTAATGTACTGTCATTGGTATAGAATTAATGTATGAAAAATGGATTAGATTCCTGGAGGTCATAACCTAGAGAAAGGTAGAACGATTTATTTCATCTTGATTAGTATATGTAGATGTTTGCTTTTAATTAATTAATCTGACCGAAAGCATAATTAATGTATATGCATGTTTGATTTGATGAGACTAATAGAGATGATTATGGACGATTAGTTGTTTTGCTTAAGGTCAGGAGAGAAGAAAATAGTAGTATATATCTTTCTAACAATAAGAGACAGCAGTTTATTGATTCAAAGGAACTAAATAAGTGTGATATCTTAATACACTTTTTATGTCAATCATATTTTATTTTCAGTGGCTAAAAGGGATGCTTGAAAACTCCATATCATCCTAGTAATATAACATATCAGTTTGTTTATTTATTTGAACACATAAACATTAGTACAAGGGGCGCCAAACACATACGAGCCACACAATAACAACGGGGTTTTGAAGGGATGGCGAATAGGTGAGTATAGTCAAAAAAGGAGCAACACTGAATGGAGATTGGTTTATGAGAGTGAAATAATAATAATACTTGGGGAAGCAGCTTAGTTAAGAAAAATAAAACCAGCAAGAATTCCCTCACTTAAAGAAGTTACGTTCCCTTTTATGAAGAAGGTAAAAGAAAGACACAACGGGATCACCACTGACTTATATTCTGAGCCATGTCTGATAACGTCTCTAGCCACTGTGTTCCACCATTTCTGGTGCCTCTACCACAAAGTCGTGAGGCATCTATAGAAGCACGTCCTGTACAGGTTTCTTTCATACCAGGACACCATGTTGTGCACAAATCACATCTCCGCTTTTTCCAACTGGTGTCAGCGTCAGTAAATGATGCACGATGTGGAATTCGTAGAACCGGTCCAGGCCACCGAAGTCGATGTTTCAAGATAGTGACACCAATTGCATTATCGTCACTGTGCCCGAACACACGTTGCCGAGCATCTGTTTTAATGAAATGTTGTTGTACTGTATGTCAACAATCTTTCGGAGATAACGATGATCAAACGCAGAGAGTCGTCTAACATACTCAACTCGGAGATGGCCGGTTTCACAAGCACAAAGCAAAAGTCCTCTCATCGATGCGTTGTAGATCTGACTTTTTACGGCTAGATTAACATCACGAAGGCGCCAAAGATGGTCCAGATGGGCATAAGTCACTCTAACTTTCAATATACTCACGCCACCACCAGCTCATATGCAGCTACCCAAATACCTGAACTTCTCGACTACTTCGATCTGGTCACTACCCAGAGTGAGTGCAGGATCAAGGTCCTGCCAGTCATGTAGAAGTACTTTACACTTCAAAGGTGAACAGAACATACTTACGTATACTAACTGCCGACTGGTTAGGTGCGGATCGCATGGCTTGGGTATTATTGCACGGTAAGACAATAACATCCGCATACTCAAGGTCGAGAATTTGTTCTCCAGGTAACGGATCCACACCGCCATTACCTCCATCCGTCAGAACTGTTTCCAGAACATCATCGGTGATAAAGTTAAAGAGAAATAGTGAGGTTAGGAAACCCTGTCTAACTCCACTGTTTGAATAGAACAATGGAGAGTGGTGGTTTATTACTCTCATTCTGCTTGGGATGCCTGTATATAAGACATGTTAATGAAATTCTCAAACAAACCATTCTTCAATGGATAATCCCAGAGAACAGTTCTGTCCAGCTAATCAACGGATGTCCGAATGTCGAGAAACACAACGATTATCGACCTGTAATAAGCTTGACAGTGTTCTAACATTTGACGTGGAGTGAAGATATAATCAAAACATCCTCGATCAGAACGAAAACCAGCCTGCCTCCCGCGAGTTATTCTTTCACGGGTTTTTAACAATCTAAGAAGTATGACAGAAGCCAATAGTTTGGACGCAATTGAAAATAAAATTTTGTCCTCCGATAGTTATTGCTTAGGTGACGTAAACCATTTTCAAAGATAAGAACAACTATCGACTGATCCCAAGATGTCAGGAAACGTTCTGACTACCAGACATTTGCAAAGAACTCGGTTCAATAACCAGAAATTTCCCATCATTAAAAGGGGCTGGTGGTGTGTCTGATTCATGTCACCTAGGAAGCAGACCAGTTGGGGCGCGCCTCGAAAAACTCTGATCATCATCCAAGACGTCGGTAGATTATATTGGTCTGTATTCCATTAGCTTCACACATTGTTTCACTCACACCAGACTTCTTGCTGCCGGTGGCTCGGATGAGCTGAAATAGCTTCTGACGATTACCAGATGCAGGTGTTGTTTTCAGCTAGCTACGATATACGGTCTTTACCTAAGCTTTGCACAATTTCGTTACGCAACAATCTTTGTTTATGGTAAAACCTGAGGTTACCCGGAGTAGTCCGACATGATTCAATGCATTGTAAGGAGCCTGTGAAAATCCAACGCTGATAAGCGAGACGTTTCATGAAGCTGCAAGTGACTTTACTCTTCATTTTAATGGTGAAACGCAGTTGTAGCCAATGTTTATTCATACTTTTCAGTATATCGGTAATGACAGTTTCTAAATTCTTTAAATTTATGAAATTTTATACATGGAATACCTCAAGAAAACACAAAACATTTTATAGAAGTAAATTTTATAAGTTCATTTTCATTTAAATACTTCCGTTTTGTTAGTTGTTTTTTGTTCAGAACACTTCGGGATTCCTATTTAAGGTGAGTTTCTTTATATTACTAAGTCAATCGGAATTTAAAATATATAAAGTTGGTTATCAGTCATTAAAAAAAGCCGCTAACAAACTATCTTTAATTTGAAGTATTTTCTGTAGGCTTCAAATGGTTTCACCATCATTACCATCATCATCATCATCATCATCATCATCATCATCATCATCATCATCATCATCATCATCATCATCATCATCATCATCATCATCATCATCATCATCATCATCATCATCATCATCATCATCATCATCATCATCATCATCATCATCATCATCATCATCATCATCATCATCATCATCATCATCATCATCATCATCATCATCATCATCATCATCATCATCATCATCATCATCATCATCATCATCATCATCATCATCATCATCATCATCATCATCATCATCATCATCATCATCATCATCATCATCATCATCATCATCATCATCATCATCATCATCATCATCATCATCATCATCATCATCATCATCATCATCATCATCATCATCATCATCATCATCATCATCATCATCATCATCATCATCATCATCATCATCATCATCATCATCATCATCATCATCATCATCATCATCATCATCATCATCATCATCATCATCATCATCATCATCATCATCATCATCATCATCATCATCATCATCATCATCATCATCATCATCATCATCATCATCATCATCATCATCATCATCATCATCATCATCATCATCATCATCATCATCATCATCATCATCATCATCATCATCATCATCATCATCATCATCATCATCATCATCATCATCATCATCATCATCATCATCATCATCATCATCATCATCATCATCATCATCATCATCATCATCATCATCATCATCATCATCATCATCATCATCATCATCATCATCATCATCATCATCATCATCATCATCATCATCATCATCATCATCATCATCATCATCATCATCATCATCATCATCATCATCATCATCATCATCATCATCATCATCATCATCATCATCATCATCATCATCATCATCATCATCATCATCATCATCATCATCATCATCATCATCATCATCATCATCATCATCATCATCATCATCATCATCATCATCATCATCATCATCATCATCATCATCATCATCATCATCATCATCATCATCATCATCATCATCATCATCATCATCATCATCATCATCATCATCATCATCATCATCATCATCATCATCATCATCATCATCATCATCATCATCATCATCATCATCATCATCATCATCATCATCATCATCATCATCATCATCATCATCATCATCATCATCATCATCATCATCATCATCATCATCATCATCATCATCATCATCATCATCATCATCATCATCATCATCATCATCATCATCATCATCATCATCATCATCATCATCATCATCATCATCATCATCATCATCATCATCATCATCATCATCATCATCATCATCATCATCATCATCATCATCATCATCATCATCATCATCATCATCATCATCATCATCATCATCATCATCATCATCATCATCATCATCATCATCATCATCATCATCATCATCATCATCATCATCATCATCATCATCATCATCATCATCATCATCATCATCATCATCATCATCATCATCATCATCATCATCATCATCATCATCATCATCATCATCATCATCATCATCATCATCATCATCATCATCATCATCATCATCATCATCATCATCATCATCATCATCATCATCATCATCATCATCATCATCATCATCATCATCATCATCATCATCATCATCATCATCATCATCATCATCATCATCATCATCATCATCATCATCATCATCATCATCATCATCATCATCATCATCATCATCATCATCATCATCATCATCATCATCATCATCATCATCATCATCATCATCATCATCATCATCATCATCATCATCATCATCATCATCATCATCATCATCATCATCATCATCATCATCATCATCATCATCATCATCATCATCATCATCATCATCATCATCATCATCATCATCATCATCATCATCATCATCATCATCATCATCATCATCATCATCATCATCATCATCATCATCATCATCATCATCATCATCATCATCATCATCATCATCATCATCATCATCATCATCATCATCATCATCATCATCATCATCATCATCATCATCATCATCATCATCATCATCATCATCATCATCATCATCATCATCATCATCATCATCATCATCATCATCATCATCATCATCATCATCATCATCATCATCATCATCATCATCATCATCATCATCATCATCATCATCATCATCATCATCATCATCATCATCATCATCATCATCATCATCATCATCATCATCATCATCATCATCATCATTTACTAAGTGCGTTATCATATAGTGGAAAACATTTTAAGATAACTAAAACAAAATTGTTTACAGGAACGAAATTATTGATCAACTGATTTATAGAGTGACATTGGATATGTGAGTTTTACGACAGTAAATTTACGCTACTCTTTCATCATTTAAATATTGATTTGATAAGAGTATCTTTTTCAAAAATAGTCATTTTTACACTAAATGACAGTCTAATAAAATTAGGTTAGTGTAGTTTGGAACATATAGATCTAAATGACTAATATCGAAGGCCATCGAACATAACTTACTTTAATACTTTTATCAAAGTTAATTGAATAGTGAAATAGTATTAGGTACTTATGTTTATTTCTTACATTGAGATAAGCGACTCGAACAACTAATTCAATTCTGTAACCATGTTGTATACTTTAGAGCTTAATTAAGGAAATCCATGAAATGTTTTATATATTTACTTTTCCAAGTATGGTATTACTTGTTGAATAAAAATTTAAATCATAGACACAAAACCAATTTTGTGAGTGTTAAACAACAATTTTCAGAAAGTCTAGTTAACAATATATAAGTTGAATTCTCGATTTAAGTTTAACGTAATTTCAGACACCTATACCTGTATATAGATTTCAAATTCGTGCTTTAGTTTAGTCATGAACTTTCTCTTATTTATTTATTTATTCAGAAGAGCTATTAAACGCTTAGGTCTAAAGAATAAAAATTAGAAAATCCATACGAATATAGTTTGCACTTTGGAGCTGAATAACATTTCAGTGAATACCATTAGACGGTTTGTTTTGCTTATAAACGAAATCTTGAGTGTAATATTATAGGTTGGTACAATAGGTTTACCTGATTGCAATGTATGAATGAAGAGTCATGACTTTTTGGAGGAGCTCATAATTACAGCATCGTATAAACACGTCCTATATACTTTGAAGTGGTTTACCTCGAATACAGGAGAAGTACCCCTATTTTCTTCGACACAGGATTGTGTATATAGATGAAGTTGTGTCCATTGTGATGGATTCTTTATAGGCTATTCTTCCCAAGAAATTCTGCTTTGTTACAAGGAGCATAAAAACTCTACCTAATAGCCCTATAGAAGCTGGAAATTCATAAATTAATTCGCATAAGAGGATATACAACTTTCAGCAATTATCAGATTGATATTGAAAATGTTCCAATATACAAAATATTTACTTCAACTATGAAAACGAGTAGCCAGGGCGTTTCGCATATTTAAAAAAAAAATCCAAACTACATTCAACTTAAAGGAAGGGCTGAATTTCCGAGCTGTCTATGCTAACTTTTCTGTCACAATAGTTTGTTTGAATCTCTCACCACCAATGTAAAAGTTGATTTGCTCGTTGTTTCATTATCATCGCACTTTTTATATACATTAACTTACACAAAACATATCACAATTTTGACCAGAATCATGTGATATAACCATGATCAAACTTGTTCGTTGTTTACTAAATATTTTGAATTGACATATTCATTTTAGTATTTAAATTTGGAAAAAGGTTATTTACTCCTGGAAGAGATTAACAGTAAATTGTGGAACGTCAGAAATTCAATTTTCTACATACTGGAATATTATAAGTACATCACAATTCTTATTTTCGTAGTTTTTCTACTTCTTCACGCTGACCAAGTGATGGTTAGCAAAATAATTAACGATTGTAAATAAACTCAACTCTCTTTGTAATTTCAACAACCCACCCCAGCATCCAATCAGAATGAGGCGGGATTATCATTTTTGACATGTTTCGTCCTGTGTGATTTTTCACTGATTTTCTTGTATCATTGCAGATTTTGTTGCTTCAGTGTCTTGGAATTTCGTTATTTAAAATGTTAGGGTTAAATACTTTGAGTAAATTACGTATTTCCTTGGTATTTTGCTAGTAACTTCCGGTCGTTACGTACTTTCTAGCATTGTTACATTATCCATGTGGTGACCCCCAATCCGTTTTAATTCCATTAATTTTCGTAGATATCGGAAACCGTCGTACGCTTTTTCTAAGCTGATCTCAGGGTTACTTCCACTTGTGATTTTCTAAATGTTCGCATATTTACTTTTAAGTGTCTTTTGTCATAATGTTGTTCATTACGTCATCAACAAATATGAAGGAAAATAATGCCTGATTTGTTGCCCTATATTATGCTATGGATAACCGTGTACCGTCAACTAGTCAAGCGAATCCTGAGTTACCAACTGTTGTAGATACCGGTGATGTATTCGAGGGGATTATGAAACTCAGGCAGCCGACAATCCAGGAGCGATTTCGATTTTTCATCATTCTCTTGAGGAACGTTTGTTATTGAACATAATACCTAGCATTCTTGGATGACTTGAACGTACCATGTGGTACAAAAAAATGATTTAACACATAATTCATCAAATTTTTCTTGTATTACTGCAAATTTTATTATCTGTAAGTTGTACTTCAAAAATTTGATAGTTATTGTGTTTCTTCTAAAGTTATCCAATATTTTGAATGTCCGTTTTTATTGCTGTAACACTGTAATGTTTACCTTCACAATCAATTACGCAATACTTAGTAATTAAAATGAATTTAATTAGAAACAATAAGATGCTCATGTGGAGTTAGGTATATAGGTCGTTAGATGCGCACTTTATCCAAAAAAATTTGAGAATATTGTCCGGCGTGGCCGTCAAGAGGAGGCAACGGCTCAATAAGTAGTTCAATAATCGAACACCATGTGAACGCAGGTTATTCAATCAAGACAGACTCTGTGTTCAAAGTCATCTACAAGGTAAGTAGAAGTCTTCCAAAGACAATTAGATTGCATCTTCTTTGCATTGCCGAAGCATTAGCCATACATCTGTAAAAACCAGAATTGTGCGTGCAAAAGAGACTAGTAAAACCTCTTTTTCTACCATGATCTTAATGTACTAAATTTTTTTCTCTTTTTCATGTTCTTCTTCCTTTACAACCACCTGCTTCACCTTCCGTCTTTCCCTTAAATCTTCTACCCCCGACTGGATTCTAACTCTTCAAAATATAAGAGTATACTTTCGAACAAACAATACTCTAAGATCAAAACTAGTAAGAATCAAAGATCCAATACACAAGGAAGAACAACAGAATTGTGTTTATGAAATCAAATGTAGTGACCGTAATCCAATATATACGGGTGAAACATCAAGGTAACTGAATGTGACGGTGAAGGAACACAAACTATGCTTAAAGCACATTCCTAAATCTTCAGTTGAGGTAAGAAAACTCGAGAACGAATCGGTGATAGCATTACACTCGATAGAATCGGGTCATACAATTGATTTCAATGGCACAAGAATCCTTCAAAAAGGCTTTAATTCTTACAAAGAAAGAGTAACAGCCGAAGCCCAACAAATATGGGCTAATCCAAACAGTATTAATAGGAGAGATGGAATACAACTAGCTGTCCCATGGCAACTAATAATTAATAAGTAAACCTGAAATCCTTATTTCATTCTATCTATATCGTATTAAACTAATTAACAGATATTACTTTCAACGGTTCAAATCAGTTATCTTATCTGAATATGTTAAACAATTGACTGGAACATTAAAATAACACAAACTTCCAATTACAAATACATTCTTCCTCTTTGAATTCATTGCTTTATCTTGTTTATTTATCGTCATTTAATGCACACTGTGACATTTTTGATTCATATCATATATAAAAATTATATGTTTTCTTAACATTTACCGACCGAAGACAATATATAGTTGAATGAAATTTCTTCTCACTTTCATATACACACAATCTGTTATCTTAACACTTTTCATTTTCACACCACATGTCTCTTACACACTAATGTAAATACCTACTTTAAACATTATTAATGTAAACCGGAGAACCATGTACCTACTTATATTTAATAATTTTGATGTTTGATTATTTTTCCTTGAAAATGCTTGGACCAGATTGCCAGGCAAAACGTTGGATTTACTTCAAAATTCATTTGCTGAGATTTTACAAATACATTCTTCCTCTTTAATGTCTCACATTAACTCGGCGCCAAAAATACAGTGAAACTATTCGATCAAATTTAGAAGAAAGTTCTTAATTATGGTTTATTTATGTTTCCACGATCATTCTGATTACATTCAATCTCAATTTCAACATTATTTTATCATGCTGAACCATCTTTTCACAATGATAATTTCCCTATCTATCTTTTGAAGAATACTTAAGCCATTAACAATCAAATGATTATTAAACTTTCCTTGTTTAAAAATTTTTTTTAAAATACCTTTGTTTAACCTCACTGTCACCATGTCTAACAGAAGTTTATTATCAGTATTATTATCATCCTGTAAAAATAAGTATATATATATATATTTGCGGTTGTACCGCTTTGAAAATAAATTCGCTGAAAAGAGAACTCTTCGCTGAACTAATCTTTCTTATTGAATAAAATGTTTGTACGTATAACTGGAATATTGTCTGTGATTTCTTTAATATAGTAAATGGTAAAATGTTTTATGACTGAATAAAATATAAACTATAGAATTTAGAATATTCAAATAAAGCATTTTCAAACGAGTTTGATGTTGATAGAATCTTGGAAAATATACCTTTTGTTTTATTCATGATTGAAGTATTTATCTTAGAAAGTATTAAATCACTAATCTGTATATGTTGGCAACAACAACAAAATAATAATCAAAATCTTTCTGAAGATGTTTCATTTAATAATCATAATTGCAATCAATGCACAATGCTAACTTATTCTACATACTAAATAAAACTATTATATGTATACATATAATGAAAATTAAAGGGCGTGAATCGAGTTGTAACATATGTATCAACCTATTGAAATTAATTATTCAAGGCCTTCGATTACCTAGTTTAAATGGAATTGTTTTGTGACAATTTATTTCGTATGTATAGTTTACTAGAAATGTACTTAACTCATTCATATTGTTACCAAGTAAGATGTTAAATAGAAAATTTAGTTTATTAGACAATTTCTATTCATTCAAGTATCATTTACAACTTTAA